AAGAACTTCATACTTGAATCTTGACGCCTGGAAGATCAGAGAGCAGAATGACTGTTGACCGCTGTTGCACGTATTTGTACGCCATCTTAAACAATGGAGGAATATCACCAGCACCTTATGATTTTTAATGTATAATTGAACTGTTTTTAGTAGATTTTATGTGGATTTTATTGTTATTTATGCATTGTTACTTGTGAGCCGCCCTGAGCCTGCCTTGCGGGGAGGGCGGGATGCAAATCTAATAAATAAATAAATATAAAATAAATACTTTATAATAAATTTCCTTGTGGTGGTGGAGGAAAGCACCCTGAAGGCACAGCTGATTTCGGGCAAGCCCTGTAGGGTTTTCAAGGCAAGAGGCATTCAGAGGTGGTTCTGCCATTGCCTGCCTCTGTGTAGCAACCCTGGACTTCCTTGGTGGCCACCCATCCAAAGACTCACCAGGGCTGACCCTGCTTAGCCTCTGAGATCTGATTTATTTAATTTATTTATTAAGTTAAATTTCTGGACCATCCTCCAGGGTTCAAGGCAGTGTACAACAACAAAAACACAATAATAAATACATTCATAGTTAAAACAATAAAAATAGAACAGCTGATGAGAACGGACTAGCCTACGCCAACCAGGTCAGGGCAGTGTTAATGGGGAAATGCCCCAATGTTAATGGGGAAAGTCTTGTACAGGACAGCTAAAGCAGAGGCCTGGGTAGGTGGAGGGTTAAACCCCCCAGACCTAATGACTTACGTTCAAACCAGAAAAGCTATTTATCGTAAAAAAAAATCAGAAGTGTATGTGGTTTAGAAACTGTCTAAAAATGAACAAAATGTTTAAAAAGACAAATGAACTCTATTGACTATTCCATGAAGGTTTATACCGCAGTAGTTCTGCTAACCTCTTTAAGATGCTGCAGTGCTTTTTTAAAAAAAACCTCTAGATGAAAGCTCTCTTGATGTTTGGGTTTTTGATATCTCTAGGTGGTGTTTTTCCACTCAAGTTAAACTTGCCAGCTTCCCCCCCGCCCGTCATTCTCTGTAGCTGTCCCTTTATTTGCTGCCTGATTGGCAGTAGTCAGAAGGGGATAACATTTATCCTTCATGCCACAAAAATCTTCACTAATTCCCTAGCCCCAAGGGTTGGTACCAGGTTATGCTTGGAGGGTCCAGTTGCTAACTACTTGGAGGGGGGGAAACCCTATCCTCTGAAAAGAGGCTTCTTTACCAGGTGATGCTATTTACCTCCATGCCATGAAAAGCTTCACCTGCTTTAGGTTAAGTCTCTGTTGAAGGGACAGGGCATTTTTACCCAGGCCTGTTGGTAACCCTATCAGAGGGCTTATGATACAGGCACCTTCCAGATCTGGGTCTGTTCAACGGCTGCTTGGGAGAGCTCCCGCAAACCCCATCTATGCCACCTTCAGTACCACAAGGGAAGAAATGCAGGATGTAAATCCAGTTAATTAAGTCTGAAGCACAGCTACAGAGCCTGGCTGATAAGAGAGCCTAGCTCCCAGTATGCATTGAATCCATGAGAGCATTTATGACCCAACAGGGTACCACGTGAATGGTAGTTACCCAGCAGAACGCACCCTACTGTTGTCCCAGTGCTTCAAGTGCCCAGCTGTCCTTTAATTACCTTATTATGTAACCCTGTTGTGCAGTTTTCCTTGCAGTGATTATGCTCTGTGGGTCACAATTGCTTACTCCGCTGCCTTTTGCTTAATTCACAGGAGGCACTACCCATGGAACCTGATTCTCCTGAGCATCTTTGTAAGTAAAACACCTGGCACCATCCTCATGCTGAACACGGGGAATCTTACAGGAGCCGTAGATTAAAAGGCAGCCATTTAGAGGGCTTCCCCAGGTCTTTCCTGAGTATTGAGACAATAACGTTTGTGGTTAACCCAAATGCACTACCAAGGGAATTGGCTCTGTAAAGCGGGAATGCATCAACGCACCAATTAGGTGGGGTTGCTGCCATATGTCTTGAGCTGCTCCTGCACCTTCAGCAACAACCCGGCACGAAGGAATCAGCAGGCAAAACATTTCATGCCTCGGAGACCAGCATTGCCTTTTGCTAGGTGCTGCTGAACTCATCACTGTCGAAGGCGCAAGTGCAAGGGTCAGTTAAGAAGCTTTCAACCCAGTCATTAGATGCGAAGGAGGACCAAGTGTGTAGAAGAGGGAATGTCTTGGCAGGAAGAGTTCATTGCGCAAGGGGGAGAAAATCTGTCCCTGCTGAGATTGTTGTGTGTGTGTGGCCATCAAGTTGCAGCCGACTTAAGGTGACCCTGTTGGGCTCTCAAGGCAAGAGATTAACAAAGGTGGTTTGCTATTGTTTGACTCTGTGTCAACAACCCTGGGTTTCCATGGTGGTCTCCCATCCAGGCACTAACCAGAGCTGACCCTACTTAGCTTCCGAGATCAGGCTAGCCTGGGTTATCCAGGTCATGGTGAAAGGAACTTGCACCCCGTCCTGTTTTGTATCCATCTATTCTATGATGCCACAGAAGAAGGGAATACATTCTTAGTGGAAGGAAGGAAGGAAGGAAGGAAGGAAGGAAGGAAGGAAGGAAGGAAGGAAGGAAGGAAGGAATCACAGGATCGAAAGTGCATGTTTCCTGCACTGTGCAAGTTTGTGCTGATCCCCTTCTCGTGCTGTTCCTTTTAAAGGTACACCGCAACTGTCCTGAGCCACAAGTGGCAGACCTATCACAACGTACAACAGCCTATTGCAGGTGGTCAAACTACATGCAAGAGCCCCAGGGAAAAAGCAGTAATGGTCACTGGAGGCTGCTGAAACAACTCCCCCCCCCCCCCCGAAAAAAACCCCTTGCATACATGCAGCAGACACAGCAGCATTTCTGGAAGGAATGGGGGCACCTGTGATTTGCAACTGCCCAAACCAACATAGATATGAGGTTTTGCAAAGACTAGGGAAAGGATGTGGCATCAGCAGCATATCCTACCAACTGTGCTGTGATAGACTGGGGCTTCTCTTTGTCTTATGGATTCCCTGAGTGTCCTGTCAAGCAACCCAAGTTTGCTCCCACTACGATTGTTCTATGACTTCCTCTGCATTAATTTGTGGAGTAGACCCATACCTCACACACATGAAGCTACCTCCTTCTAAGGCAGACCATTGGTTTATCGAGGTCGGCATTATTTACTCTGAATGGCAGTGGCTCTCCAGGGTTTCAGGTGGAAGTCTTTCACATCACCACCTACCTGATCCTTTTCACTGAAGTTGCTGGGGGTTGAACCTGGGGCTTTCTGCGCGCAAGGCTGATCCTCTACCACTAAGCCATGGACTTGTCCCTTCTTTTCACCATGCATACCCTGAATCTGCATGCAGCGGGCAAACGTTTGTGTACCCCTCAGGTTACGAGTGGCACTTTTTAATGTATATATGTCGTGCATACTCAGAATGCCCACTAAGTGGTAACATATAACAGGGTTTGTGTTGCTGTGTTTCCATATGATACTGCATATATCCATTCCTAAATCCATGCTTGCCAAAAGTTTCTTTACTATCTGATGTTAACCACCTCTCATTATCACAGAAAATAGGAGTGATCCACAAATCCCTAATATTGCAAAAGGTACCGCATTCCAATAAGCACCACTCCAGAGTTTCTGTCTCTCCAGAAGCACAGTCATGACGTCTATCAGAGTATGAGGTCATTGTCATTGAAACTAGAGGCTGGGAGGGGGAGGGCGGGGGTTATTTCCCTGGTTTTGCTGTTCCATGTGCACAGATATTCCACGTGGAGCAACAAAATCAGGGAGATCACCCCCCCCAGTGTGGTTTGTGCATGGGGAAATGGATTGAAGGGAGCCTGTTTGAACTCTTCTTTCTTTTTTTAGAAGCCATTCCCCGCGGCTGCTGTGATACTACAGGGAACATGTTTCCCCGGACCCAGCTCTTTAAAAGCCATAACACTTAATTTGGCCCTTAGACAGCAGGACTCAAAAGATGCACCACTCTGCTGAAGAGTCATTTTGCCGATGGCTGACTCATACATGTGCATCTAACCCTTGGGTTTTCTTCCTTTGCCCTTATCATGTCTTTCTGAGAATGCAAAAACTGCCCTGCAGCACCTTGTCCAGCATTCTGTTTCCAACAGCAGTCAGCCCTAGTGCCCCTGGGCCCCTCTGAAAATGCAAAAGAATGATGCTGATGGTTCCTGCACATTCCCAGCATGTGGTGTTCAGAGGGTATTTTATTGCCTCTGAACATGGTCGAACTCACATCAGTAACCCCGTCCTCTGTGAATTTGTCCAAAGCTTTTAACAAATGAGTTGTCAACACACTATACTTCATGGCAGGGAGTTCCAGCAGTTAATTGTGCTTTATGTGGAAAGGAATTTCCTTTTTCAGTCCTGATCCTGCCACCAGTCAGCTTCATGGGTTTTAATATTCGGTAAGACAGGTAGCTGCGGTGGCTCAAGTGGTTAAGACGCTGAACTGCAGGCTGTGGAAGGTCAGTAGTTCAGCAGTTCAAGACCCGGGTGCCGCAAGACGGGGTGAGCTCCTGTCTCTAGTTCCAGCTCCTGCCAACCTAGCAGTTCGAAAGCAAGAAATTGCAAGTAGATAAATAGGTACCACTTCGGTGGGAAGGTAACAGCGTTCCGTGCGCCTTGGTGTTTAGTCATGCCGGCCACATGACCACGGAAACGTCTTTGGACAGCGCTGGCTCTTCGGCTTTGAAACGGAGATGAGCACCGCAACCCTAGAGTCGGATTCGACTGGCTTTCGAGCAAGGGAACCTTTACCTTTACTTTAAGACAGGTAGACAAGTAAAAAAGGAAGGATCTTGTGGGGGGGGGGGGTAATCATTGTCGCCTGGGGCTATATACTGTCACTAATGGAGGCCAAACATCCCAATGCTGGATGCAAAAATTGCTTGCATTTTTGTTAGCTTTCCTGTAAATATTTGTGTTGGGAGGCTATGTTTCTTACATATATTGTACATCTGGGGTGCCCAACGTGGAGCCTGTGGGTGCCACGATGTCTGCTGACATCTTTCATGGTGCCTGCCTAATGTGTTTAGAAAGTGGGTGGAGCCAGGTGGGGCTTTTGCCCAGCAAAACTTCTGATTGGCCATTGGAGTTTTGATTTCCTGTGCAGATATTTAAACGGCATCAGCCATTTTCTGGCTGGCTCCGCCTCCTGTGGCAGCCATTTTGTGGCAGCACCCACAATATTGTGTCAGGATTCCAAAGGTGCCCCCAGGCTTAAAAGGCTGAGGACCCCTGATGTACATTACTGCGTAGGTAAGTGTAGTCTCGCACAACTTGTGATCTGCCAGTCCAAACATAGAACACTGGCCATTTATACCAATCTGCTAGGTATACCCACCCATGTCTTCAACACTCACTTTTGCATTCTCAGGCTGCAACATAATAGGTTTATCAAATTTGTGGTGGGTAGCCACATATGGCTAGTTAACACATTCTGCAGACCTGGACAAGTGAAAACAGCTTGCCCTTACAGCTGTTCTTTGTTTTTATTTTTTTATTTATCCCTGGCCCCAGCTTCTCAAGTAACGGTGTCTTTTTATCTCCACAGACTCTGTCCATGGCTTATCTAACAGGGATGCTTTCCAGGTAGGTCAGTTGCAGGAGGAACTGTAATACTTTATTACACTTATTTAATGAAATGGTGTGCCACATTTTATTAACAGATGGACAAGGTGGCAAACAAGAAAAATACCAGGCTTGCCATTTGCCCACCCCTGCCCTGGGCCCCAGTTTCTAGTCCTTAAGAAACTGAGGAGTGGAAGAAAAAAATGGGCAGAAAACAGGCTCCGTAGCAGGGTTGCCAACTCCAGGTCTGGAAATGCCTGGAAATGTGGGTGTGGCGCCTGGGGAGGGCAAAGTTTGGGGAGAGGAGGGACCTCAGCAGGCCATAGTGCCATACAGCCCATCCTCCAAAGCAGCCATTTCCTCCAGGGGAAATGATCTTTGCCATCTGGAAATCAGTTGTAATTCCAGGAGATCCCCAGTCCCCACCTGGAGGTTGGCAACCCCATTCCATGGTGATGTTTAGGCAATGCTTAGAGGGTCACCCAAAAGTGATGCCACATTCCCCCCAAATTCCACCCTCCCCAGTCACTGCCCTCAAAAATCTCCCAGCATTTGCCGAGGCAGTGCTGGCAACTCTGATCATACACAGGGAACAGCAATAAATAGCCATAAAAATACATTAAAATTAAAATAGTAAAACTAACAGTAATTCAAAGCAGCAAAGTGAACCAACAAAACCAAAAAGACTAGTTGTCTGTAACTCAGAACAGGATGACATTCTATTAAGGGAATTCCACCACTGAAAAGGTCCTGTCTACTGTGCCTGCCCAACGGACTTCTGAAGGAAGGGGAATATGGAGAAGTAGACATATGATCTCCGTTGCTGGGCAGTTTCATATAGAGGCAAGCAGTCTGTTAGATATTTGGGTCCAAGGATGTTCACAGCTTTATAGGTCAAATCCAGACCAGAAGTAGTTCCCATATTTTTCTTTGCATGAGATTTTGTTTTATTTAATAGATTCATGTCTTGTCTTCCTGTTTTAAAAAGGAGAGCTACCAAAAATATTAAAAGGAATAACAAAACGTCAAATCAAGACAACCAAATAAAACAACACCAAATGATCTGACCAGCACTGGCAAACAAGCAGCTATTTTCAAAGGTTCTCCAGAACAGTGTATTTTTCAGATTGCTCCAGAAAGCCTGTGAGGATGGCTCCTTTCATACTTCCTGGAGAAAGGAGTTCTGTAAATTAGGAATGGCACCCAAGAACAGTTTCCCACATGTCCTCGACGCTTGTATGTCAGGTAATGCAGGTTCCTGCAATAAGGATCCACATGTCGATCTAAAAACCCGGGCAGTCTCATGTGGATGGAAGTGGCCCTTCAGGTTAACTGGATCCAAGCTGTTTGCAAGGTTAAAGGTCAAAACCAGCTTTTTGATTTGGCCCCAGAAAAAAACAAACTTGCGTTCAGTACAATAGAATTTTCATTCTCTCTTCCACTTCTGAGAGTGAAGGCATATTCTTTTATGAGATGAATAAAGCAAAACAATGACAAAAAACCCACCCCAAAACATATTCTTTAATTTCCAGGTTAATTGAAATTTGTTCTTCCTAATTCTCAAATGCAGTCCAGGTAAAGAATAAACTCGTTTGATTATAAATCTAATCCTGTGTATCTTCTCTTTCTTCTTAAATGGGAAAAGAGACCCAAATACAATTAAATCTATGAAAAATTGGTTTGGTTTTGAAAAGCTGGTCATCGCTCTTCAGTATATGCTGATTTAAGGAATTGTTTCTGATGAATAGAGTTGCCAGCCTCCAAGTGGCACCTGGGGATTTTCCACTATTACAGTTGATCTCCAGATGACCGAGATCAGTTCCATGGAGAAAATGGCTGCTTTGGAGGGTGGTCTTTGTGGCCTTATACCTTGCCCTTCCCAGACTCCACCTCCCAATTCTCCAGGAATTTCCCAACCCAGAACTGGCAACCCTACGAAGTCCTTGCCTTCATGTTCCAGCCTGTGCTGGAGGATGCTCTACAGGTAGGTTTGCCAGATTTGGGTTGGGAAATTCCTGGAGATCAGGGGTGGAGTCTGGGGAGGGTGGGGTTTGAGGAGGGTCGAGACCTCAGCAGGGTATAATGCTGCAGAATCTACCCTCCAAAGCAGCCATTTTCACCAGGGGAGCTGATCTCTGGAATCTGGACACCACTTGTAATTCTGAGGGATCTCCAGGCTTTGCCTGTTCTGCAAAATGAACAGAATATGCGGCTACTGGACCAGCTCGCAGGCTGGTTTATGTACGTTCAGAAAACCCGCCACCAAGTACACCTAAACACACCCCCTACTCCCGATAGGCTATTTACAGTAACCGGGTGACCATTGGTCTCCCGGCTGAGAAGCTGGCCCACCGATAGGGCCGGCTAGGATCCTACGGACCCATTGTCTTTGGACATGAAGCTATTGAAGAGTTGTGTCTGGCCAGCCCGGGCAAGTCCGGGCATGTCAGGCTGAATACATTACACAAGGGGAGGGGCTATAGTGACCAACAAGGATGGAAAGAAACTTTCCTGGTTCTCGACTGTCTTTCCCAGCAGGAGAGCTTCGAAGCGGCGCTCCAAATTTGCAGTGAAGATAGCGGAGGAATGCTGCTAGAAAGAAGCTTCCTTTGCACTTCTCTCTGTTGTCCAGCTTCCACACAACTCTCCCTTTGTTTCTGGTTTTAACAATCCCTTGCAGAGAAGCCATGTGGGTTTCTATTGTTTGGTGTTTATCAGATGGCTGGACAGTGGGGATGGTGGGACAAGGAATGCAGTGGGGAGGAGCGATAAACAAAGTCATTACTTGGTCACAGGATCCAAAGGACCAGAGCAGAGCAAGGAGGTTTTACTGCTGCGGAAAAGAAAAACAAACAAACAAACCCACCATCAGCAGGTGCAATTTGGGCTGCAATCCTAAACTTATTTGCCCGAAAGTAAGTCACATGGAAATCAATAGGACTTACTTTCTGAGTAACCTTGTGTAGGCACAGGATGTCTAAGTATCCCACAAGCAGCATAATCATGGAAGTTATATTTCAGTTGGAAAGTTCTGTCCAGTTTTGAGTACCCCATTTTTTAAAAAAGAGGGCAGAATGTGCGCTTGGGGATGAAAATCAATACATGAGAATTGCTTGCCAGTTGATCCTCGCAGTACAAGACGTTCTGAAGTCCTGTCTGTCTTTTGTCTGTGTAGTCCTCATGTATGCCTCTGAGAAATGGAAATAAAACATTTGAGACAGTTACACCCAATTCAAGGTGTGCAAATAGCAAGAGGAAACATTTAAATAGCTGCTCCTGCCTCCCATTGCTACCCAATGCTAATCTCTGTCGTTAAATTACAGCACTACCCCCCACGGCTGCATTGTGTTTTTTTAAAAAATCTGGAAAAATAATTGTAGAGCTAAAGCTAACTGTAGGACAACCTTCAGTGTAAACTAGCTTCTTATATTCATGTGTTAAGCTATCACGCTGAGCCTGCCTCCTCACAATATAGAAAATTCACTTCACTTTGATATTCAGTACCAATCCTGCTCACCCTTTTCAGCCCTCAGCAGGCCTGTGGGAGGAAATTGGTTTTTAATGGTGCCACACTAGGAGTGTGACATCACTTCTGGTAAATACCTGGAAGTGATGTCACATTGCTGGCATGATGATGATGAGGGGACGCTCTAGGATTTGGGCAAAACTCTATAGTTCTAATACCTGCTGAAAGTGATGTTCGGCCATTAGAGTGGTGCTATTTCACCCTGTTCCCCTTCCCTAGTCCCACATCTCCCTGACTGTTGTGCGAGATCCCTGAATTGAGAGTGTTGTGAATGATCTAGTTATACCTCATGAACAGAATTAACCATATCAAGTGGAAGTTGACGGGAATGAGGAGCAGTAGATCCACGAGCAGTTGTTTAGAGTTCCTGGGAGCCTTCAGTTACTTATTTTGCCTTTTGCAGCACAATAGCTAATAATTCTTTCACACCATTTGAGCAGCTCTTTTGTGGTACATCAGTGTACTCCCAAGGCATCATTTGAGAATTACTATTCTAGCTGCGTTGCATTCTCCTTTGCACAGTGATGGATCTAATAGAAAATGCCTTAATTTCGTTTCATTATTCCTTGTGCAGCTACTACAACACCATGTCAGTCCTTCTGTGCCTCGGGATCACGGCACTGGTATGCCTCTCCGTGACCATATTCAGTTTCCAGACCAAGGTGAGTCAGGTGTAATTCAAGGACTTTCGTCTAACTTTGTGAGAACTGATACAGCTGGGAAGGAAGAAGACACCCCTTTGGTCTATAAACAACAGAGAGTGCTGTAAAACTATTCCTGGACTTTAACACTTCAGGCTGCAGGTGGTCAGTCTGGTCTACACATGCAGTAGAAAGAAGGTGGTAGAATCTTGAGATGACACAGTGGACTGTACCACTTCAGGCTTGAGGGTTGGCTATGCCATTTTTAACAGTGGTCCCTAGGCTTGCCAGGTTCCTGGTTGAGGCAGGGGATCCCCCACTTTTGCGGGCTCCAGCCTGCGACACTCTACACACTCTACTTTTGGGGCAAAACTCTATGGTGAAAATGGCTACAAGCCATAGAGTTTTGCCCCAAAGGTAGAGCGTCACCCCCGATGTCACCAACGTGATGACGTCACTTCCGGAAGTGTCGTCAGCCCACCCCCCAAACCGACTTCCCTGCGTTACATTGGCAACGGGCTGGCAGCGTGTCTGGAAGTGACGTCATCACGTTGCTGATGTCAGGTGTGATGCTCTACCTTTTGGGCATTTTTACCATGGAGTTTTGCCCAAAAAGTAGAGTATTGCCCTGACGTCACCAACACAATGACGTCACTTCTGGAAGTGACATCAGCGCATCCCCGACATCCCCGCCCACCCCCTGAACACCCCCAAAATCCCCCCACTGGCAGGAGGAAGGTACCTGGAAATCCTAGTGGTCCCCCGTGTGTAAGCATAGCCCTCACCTATAATCTGATCAGGTACCAGGGGAGGCTGCAAGGCATTTTGCTGCCCCCAAGCAGATCCCTTGACTTGTGCCACTGGCAGCCCGGAGGAAGATGAGCCCCAGGGCTCTGTCAGCACTGTTGGAGCTCAGTTTGGACCCAGGCAGCTATTTGGCGGTTCTGGTAGTCGGCACTGGGCACAAGCCATGCTTACCATTTCATCCTGCATGGCCACTCTCCTCAAATTGTGGTGATCCACACAGCCACTTGGATTCCTTGTACCTGCCAGCCCTAAGTAGTACAGACCATTCTGCTACCTCACAATTCTCCTTGCTCATACTGCTGCATGGACAGAGCAGGTTGCGGTGTGGAGAATGCCATGTGTTTGAACTCTCCTTCAAAGGAGAAAAGTCCTCATCAGGTGGAAAACCCAGGTAGAACTCAGGTCCAGATTCAGGGCGCTTTCAAACACACTAGACAGTGCACTTTCAACCCACTTTCACTGCACTTTGCGCCTGGATTTTACTGTGTGAAACAACAAAATCCTCTTGCAAACAATCGCTAAAGTGCATTGGAAGGGGGTTGAAAGTGCATTAGTCAGCAAATCTGAAAGTAGACTCATGGAAGCTCATCGTACATTACAAATGAAGGTCCCAAGTTGCCGGGCCCTGTCAAAGGTGGAATCTTACACACTGGGGTAAAGTGGACCAAAGTGTTGTGATGCTCCTGTACATGGTTAAGGTTGCCATTTATGGAAATTGAAAATTGCTGTTCTTTGGGCAGTATTTGGCCAGTCCAGAAGTAGAACCTAGCACCAGTGTCACACATGCATACGAAGCTGCCTTATACTAAATCAAACCCTTCGTCCATCAAGGTCAGTATTGTCCTCTCAGGCTGACAGTGACTCTCCAGGGTCTCGGGCTGAGGTCTTTCACGTCACCTACTGCCTAGTCCTTTTTAACTGGAGCCGGGGACTGAATCTGGGACCTTCTGCATCCAAATCAGAGGCTCTTCCACTGAGCCACGGCCCCTCCCCCAATGCCATCTTTTCTCTTGGGGTGCTAGGTAGAACTTTTAAAAGGGAGGACAGACATTAAAATATTAAAAAGGAAAAATTTAAAAAGGAAAACCAAACCATACAAAACATGGACCTTGCACTTTCATATTCTGGCAACTGGCCCAAAACCGAGATCATTAACTTGGCTGTTTGGAGGTTTTTTAAAAATAATTGGTTAGCAAGCCCATATGCATTTATTGATTATTTTGTAAATCGTCTAATGATATTGCCCATGAAGGGCAAACACTTTCCAGGATGTGCACATGTATCAGAATCCTGTTTGAATACGCATTAAAAGTGGCAAGTTCCTTGTGCCTCCTCTACCATGGTTGTGAAACCTGACCCATAGAACCTAGAGTTGCTGGCTTTTGATGTCTAAAGGATTGCTTCAACGGACAAGGACAGCGAGGAGATGGGGAGTTAGCGGCAGCTAAGACCAAAGATATGATATTACAAATGCAACGTGTGAATTTTTAAAAGAATACTGAAAGGTACGTGGGGTGGACAATGCACCCCAGTGCTGAAAGATCTGCAGTGTGTGCCCATTTGTTTCCAGGCACAATCCAAAGGGATGGTTCTTACCTTTAAAGTCTTAAACAGGGCCAGGGTACTCAAAGGACTGTCAGAACCCACAGCCAACAACGGAGTACACGCTTTCAAGAAAGGTTATACTTTTATTGAAGAGCTATAGATGCATTAAAATAGTCACTGTTAAGACTGGCAGTTGTCCCTTGGACATAATAAGATATAGGGCATTCATATGCACACACACACACCCCACTGAGCTGGCCAATTAGGCACCCTCCCGCGCGTGGGCTAAAGCCAGCAAACTGTTTCTAGGTAAAGCTGGGAACTGCCCGGCTCCCATGGCTGCCTGGAAAGGCAGACAACACACACTCCCACCTGCACATCATTATAGATAAGCGCAAAGCATAGACAGGAATGCGAAAGCAATTTACACAGACTCTGACTGAGCATCCCAACCCCCACGGCAGCATAGCTGACAGACTGCCTTCTCCCATGCTGTACAGCCTGCCAGTTAAGATCGGCCTCACTAGCCTTGCTTTCTGCATCCCCACCTTCAGAGGTAAGGTGGGTAGAAACCGCAGACAGGGCTTTTTCGGTAGTGGCGCCACATTTACAGAATTCCCTTCCCCTTGAGGCTTGTCTGGCACCGACATTGCTTTCTTTTAGCTACCAGACCAAAATGTTTCTGTTCACCCAAGCTTCAAATTAAGGGTGTTGCTCTTGTAACACAATCTTAGCCTGGAAACTATTGTAAGCTGTTGGTGGTCTGTTTTTATGGTCTATGTTTTCATGCTGGGCTGGGTTTTTAATACTGGATTTTAATTCATATCTTTTAACATTTTGCTTTTATTATTTTTATTTTGTAAGCCACCTTAGGCAGGTTCCTCGACAGGTGGCATTAAATTTTTTCTAAAGAAATAAAATAACAGTGGTAGAGACTTCAGAAGGTCCCAGACTCAAGCCCCACTGTCTTGGTTATGAGCTGTAGCTCAATGGTAGACCCACAGAGTGAACATTCTAGAGCACATTCATAGGGATGTCAGTCTCCATGTAGGACCTGGGTATCCCCCGGAATTATACCTCATCTCCACACTACAGAGATCAGTTCCCCTGGAGAAAAGGGCTGCTTTGGAGGGTGGACTCTATGGCATTGTAGCCCACTGAGGTCCCTGTTCTCCCCAGGCTCCATCCCCAAATCTCCAGGCATTTCCCAACTTGGATCTGGCAACCCTAGCCCCCCCTCATCCCCAGCTGGTGGCCAGGAGGGACCTGGCAATCCTACACATTTAACATCTCCAGAAGGTCCCAGCTTCAAACCCTTCCTTCTTCACTTAGTGGGGCTATCTTTCAGGGCTGCTGCTGGACAGAATCGATACTGTTCTAGATAGACTACTGATCTAACTTTGTATAAATTAGATAATTCGTTTGGTGCTGAAGAGATTACTGGAGCTTATAGTTAAATGTAGATGGAGCAGAACTTGTTTTATGTCCAGGATACTGTAAGATCTGGGGCTTGCGGCAAAACTGGAGAAGTAGGCGTGCCAAGTCCGGAATACAGATCTAGTAGCCAACGTCTGCCAAAAATGTATGAGCCTGTCTGTACATCTTATGCTTGGAAGTTAGTGAGTGTTTAATGCCATCCATTCAGTGTGCACCGATACAATAATGGTCTTTTGTTTTGCCTACAGTATGACTTCACCTCTTGCCAGGGAGTCCTCTTTGTGATGCTGATGGTGTTGTTCTTCAGCGGGATCATCCTTGCCATCATGCTTCCTTTCCAATATGTAAGTCGCATTACTCACATTCCTGCCCCAACCAGGTGTCAAGTTCCACAGCAAGTAACTCTTCACACACGTTTCTCCTGAAGCGTTATGCTTTATTAGTGTACAAGACTGGTACCATGTCCACAGGATTATTGTTAGGAATAACTAGAAGACGGGAACATCCCAATACATATAGCTGGGCAACGCCATTAGCTAAGCAAATGAACTTCGAGCGTGCGCGGGAATACTCCCGGCGGGTGATTACATAATGAGCGGGAGAGTCCCATGGTTTCCTGAGAGCAGAAAAATTCACACCAAAGGTGGATCCCAAGCCCTCCTTAATGCACAAGGCCAGAATGATAACGGCGTCTAGTTCCCACGGCTCCCTGGCATGTTTACAGCAAGCTGCTGAGCTGCAAGCAAAGCGGGAAGAGGGAAGGGTAGACAACACAGTTATGGCAGCTAGCTGACACCAGGAACCTGGCAAGCCTAGGGACCCACTGTTAAAAATGGCACAGAGAGGGGGGAGGGGAGAGACATGGCTGTTGGGGGGGGTGCTGGGAACTCATAGGCACCCCTGTGCATACTGACCTGCATCCCACCCCTCTGCAGTCTCTTTTCTTAGGACCAGTTAACTGAGGGCCAGTCTGTACATTTTGGCTACCACACTTTATATCAGTCCACATGGCACCGGCGGCTGCTTGGTCGTTCCACATGGCACGGGAACAGCTGCCACACGGATTGGCTTAAAGCTACTTGTGGTGGCTCTCTGGTATGTTTTATCCCCCCTTAGCTCCAAGACGTTCAGAGCAGCATGCTTAGTTCCCCCTTCCTCATTTTATCCTCACATCAACCCTGTGAGGCAGGTTAGGCTAGGGGCGGCATGGGAGAACTTCCACTTGGATTGCACCCCGTATTCTCCCCCCCCCCTTTTGCCACCAAGTCTGACTTATGGCGACCCCAGTGGGGTTTTCAAGGCAAGAGACGTTCAGAGTTGGTTTGCCATTGCCTGCGTCTGTCTTAGTGACCCTGGTATTCCTTGGTTGGTCTCCCATCCACTTACTGACCAAAGACAACCCTGCTTAGCTTCCGAGATCTGATGAGATCGGGCTACCCTGGGGTATCCGGGTCAGGGCATTCTTCCCTTGGGAGATGCCATTTGGATTTTCCGTCTCAGCTCCGTACATCCCTGCCCACTAAACCTCTCCAGCAGCTAGTAGAAGCCCAACTAGCACAGGTTTGCCCTGGCTTCTTATTTACCGTCCCCCATACATAATGTTATTATTTTATTCTGATCAGACTCTTCCCACAAGCTTTATACAGTTTTTTTTATTGTCATCTCTATTTCCACACTGTTTTCTTTTGGCATCTGAAAAGTCTGGCACTGGGTTGTAGACTATTGACTGTTCTTGACCTGCTGTTATTCACCAGGCAAGAACCCCGTGTGACAAGGAGTAAAGCCAAGGAGGGGAGAGAGACTGGGATCCCTCAGCCATTCCCACCAAAGAGTTTTCTTTCTGCAGTTCATCATCAAGAGCATGTGAGATACTGGGAACTGCTAGGCTTGCCAAGCTCCAGGTGGGGCCTGGAGAGCTCTCAGAATTACAACTCATCACCAGACTACAGAGATCAGTTCCCCTGAAGGAAATGGCTCCTTTAGAAGGTGGACTCTATGGCCTTTATACCCTGCTGAGGGCAATGCTCCCTCTAAGCTGTGGAGTCTTGTGAGCAAAAATTCTACTTTCTGATCTACTGGCATTAAAGTTGTGAGCGAGCGATTGGGCTCCTGCATAAATCAGTTTGCTCTGGAGCCATCCTTCCTGAGCTAAGGCAAAAATGTGTGAGCCGGAGGCTAAAAAACTGTGAGCTAGCTCACACTAACTCAAACTCCCCAGATTCTGCCGTCCCAAAACACTGCCCCCAAATCTCCAGGAATTTCCCCAAGCCAAAGTTGGCAACTCTAGGAACTGTTCGCCAAGCAAAGGAAGCATGCCATTAATCACTGTGCACCTGATTTATATGCTTGAGGTCAGGCTTCCCCTATCTTCCTTTACTTCTATGAGCTGGAGGCATTTAGAGCAACTGATTATCTGACTTCTGAAAGAACCTTTCTTTGCCTTTTGTTCACACCCTCCTGATATTCAAGAATAAATGGAACTTTGAAAGCTCATTATAAAAGTTTTGCACTTTGCACTGGCATCAGCGTCACCAATTAGTATCCAAGAGGAACAGGGGCTGAAGATAGCCATTTGGGCGGGAGACAAGTGCTTCTGGGAGTGGCGTTTCCGGCTTGCTGAAAGCCCACAATTCTGAATGACGCACACAGCTCCCCAGAGTACATCTTGTCTTCTTAGGAACATTAGGAAACTGAGCAGGTTCTCTGGAGAGACGTCATATACGTTTTCTGATTAAATAAATAAAAGAACACAGGCCATATCCCCCCTCGGCCAACTCCTGTCGTAGGGTGTACTATCTCAGGTCTCATACAAGCATACAGTCAACACATTATTTAGTTTAATTCTTTGCAGGTGACTCTTCTCTCTCTCTTTTCCCATGTCTCATAGTTATGGGGTGGGTTGGTCTGCACTTATTAATGAAGCTTGCTTACAGTGAAACAGTGGGTATGAGCCAGGAAGAGACTCCTGATAAGCCCCTCATAAATACCCTATGTTCCTTGGTTCCATAGTCAACCCAAAGGGAGACTGCAACCAAGAAATCAGAAGGATGTTGAGACTGGGAAGGGTAGCCATGAAGGAGCGAGAAAAGACTCATAAGTGTAAGGATGTGTCACTGGAGACCAGGATCAAGATAATTCATACTGTGGTATTCCTTCTATGTATGGGTATGAAAGTTGGAAAATGAAGAAAGCTGACAGGAAGAAAAATTACTCATTTGAAATGTGGTGTTGGAGGAGAGTTTTACGGATACTGTGGACCAGTGTTCCCTCTAAACTGAGTTAGTGTGAGCTAGCTCACAGTTTTCTAGCCTCCAGCTCACACACTTTTGTCTTAGCTCAGGACGGATGGCTCCAGAGGAAACTAATTTATGCAGTAGCCAAATCGCTCACTCAGAACTTTAATGCCAGTCACTTACAAAGTAGGATTTTTTGCTCACAAGACTCCACAGTTTAGAGGGAGCATTGCTGTGGACCACCAAAAATCCTTGTAAGCGGGTTCTAAATCAAATCAAGCCTGAACTTTCCCTAAAAGCTAAAATGACAAACCTGAGGCTATTGTACTCTGGTCATGTTATGAGAAGACAAGAGTCACTGGGAAAAGGCAGTCATGCTAGGAGAGGTTGAAGGCAGCAGGAAAAGAGGAAGACCCAACAGGAGATGGCTGGACTCAGTGAAGGGAGCCACAGACCTTAGTTTGCAAGACCTGCGCAAGGCTGTTCTGTGACAGAACATTTCGGAGGACATTGATTCATAGGGTCGCCATGAGTCGGAGGCAACTTGGTGGCACTTAACACACACAAATTGTAAGGGTAGTCTCTTATCTAATTCATCCAAACCCTGGCCTCAGCCCCCATTTATGCGAACAGCAAACAATGTAGGAAACCTGGTCCACACCTGTACCTCTTCAAGTTAGGTGAGTACAAAGTGGGAAGAACTGACAATTATGTGGTGCTTTTGCGTGTATGGGGGTGGGAAGCTACTCACAGGAAACTAGCATCTCAGGAAGAAGGCTCTCCTCTCTTCTTTGAACATTCAGTTTTCTGTGTGCTGGAAGTTTTTACACACACACATGAGGGAGGGAATGAAGAAGAAGAAGAGTTGATTTTTATACCCTGCTTTTACCAACCCTAAGCAGGGCTTTTGGGGGGTGGGGAGGAGAGGTGCCGGAACTCTCAAGAGGGAAATTAAGTTTTCAAGCGGTATACTGAAAACTCATGGACTTTTAAACATTTTAAAAAGAATTTTTTTGAAGAGGTCCTGGAACTCTGTTCTGGCACATTCCCCCAGAAAAAAAGCCCTGACCCTAAGGAGTCTCAAAGTGGCTTACAGTCTAACAGGCACCTTGTGAGGAAGGTGGGTTTGAGAGAGCTCTGAGAGAACTGTGACTGACCCAAGGTCACCCAGCAGGCTTCATGGGGAGGAGGAGTGGGGAATCAAACCTGGTTCTCCAGATCAGAGTCCGCCGTTCTTAACCACTATACCACACTGGTATAGTGTGTGTCGTGTGCAATGTTCCCTCTAAGCTGTGGAGTCCTGTGAGCAAAAATCCTACCTTGTGAGCTACTGGCATTAAAGTTGTGAGCAGGTGATTTGGCAGCTGCATAAATTAGTTTGCTCTGGAGCCCTCCTTCCTGAGCTAAGACAAAAATGTGTGAGCCAGAGGCTAAAAAACTGTGAGCTAGCTCACACTAACTCAGTTTAGAGGGAACACTGGTCGTGTGTGTGTGTGTGTGTGTGTGAGGGAGACTACGCGTATAATCATGTGATCTCCCATGTGTACTTTCTGGTAGAAAAGTTTTTCTACATGATCAACTAAACCCTCCATAATTCAATATATTATTCTAAATTAATTAACTCTGTATTACAAGGTAGGGTAGGATAATGGCTAGAAAGTCAGACTATGACTGGATAGTTGGGCTGCCAACCTCTAGGTGGGGTCTGGAGATCTTCCAGAATTATACCCTGTCTCCAGATAACAGAGATCAGTTCTCCTGGCACAAAATGGCTTCTTTGGCGGGTGGACTCTGTAGCACTGTACCTGCTGCTGAGGTCTCTCTGTCCTCCTCAGACTGCGCCCTCAAAATCTCCAGGAATTTTCCAGCCCAGAGGTGGCAACCCTAGATGCTATCATTTAGAGTAATGTACAAACAATAACGTATAAACAAGATATTATCAAATGGTGCAGGGAATATAACACATTCCTGGCATACATTTATCTTAAATATTAACCGGTCCAAGGAGGGGACAGCAACATTGCTGATAATTCTCAGATTTCAAGTCCCAAAGCAAATTCAACAATGTTTCTGAATTTGTCCTGTTATGCAACATCAAGCCAACCTGGCTTGCCTTCATGCCCCCATTTGCTTTGCACTGCCAGCTCAGTCATGCAGATATAAACTGCTGACCCCTTGGTTTCCATGGGGATGTACAATAGGAAGTGGGATCTTTCTCACCAGCTTCTACCTGCTGGGCAGGTTATTTTATTTATTTATTTAATAACAGAAATTATACTCCACCTTTCTTCCCAGTCAGGACCAATGCTCCCTCTAAGCTGCAGAGGCTTGTGAGCAAAAATTCTACTTTTGTGAGCTACTAGCATGAAGGTTGTGAACCAGCAATTTGGCTACGGCATAAATTAGTTTGCTCTGGAGCCCCTCCTTCCTGAGCTGAGACAAAAATGTGTGAGCTGGAGGCTAAAAAACTGTGAGCTAGCTCACACTAACTCAGCTTAGAGGGAACACTGGTCAGGACCACCAATGTGGTTAACAATTGAAAGCGGGATCTTATGAAACAAACAACAGCACAACAAACCTTTATTGGCCTAACAGCAGTGGCCTAGGTTCAGGGATACAGGAAAGGAAAAGAAAAACTAAACAATTAACTACTCATTTTGACAGAAAAGACTTCTCCTCCTATATGTACAATAAAGGAAGTTTGCCACCACTTCGATGAAATCAACCCTGTTTGAGGCTAGAAGGTTCCTAATCTTACTTTCCTCAGATTTGCCCTCCAGGGATTGCAGCAGTGTTCCCTCTAAGCTGAGTTAGCGTGAGCTAGCTCACAGGTTTTTAGCCCGCAGCTCACAGATTTTTGTCTTAGCTCAGGAAGGATGGCTCCAGAGCAAACTCATTTCTGCAGCAGCTAAATCGCTTGCTCACAACTTTAATGCCATTAGCTCAGAAAGTAGAATTTTTGCTCACAAGACTCCGCAGCTTAGAGGGAGCATTGAATCGCAGTAGAGGATCGAGGTGATAGGCACGTAAATCCTGGTAAAGTCTACAAGACAGAAGCACATGGTCCGTTCCTTCAATCTCCTCTAGCCCACATGGGCATAACCTATCCGAGAACAGTGTTTTTTTAAATCTCCCATATAACACAGCTGAGGGGAGCACGTTAAAAAGGGCCAGTGTGAACACCCTTCTAATGTGGGGATCAATCAAACAAGAGAAATACTCTGCAAGCGACATGTTAAAAGAGATCCCCCAATAAATGGGGGAACAGTGCCCAGTGGCAAGCCTATTAAGTTCTTGCATTTCTATATCGATTAATCTCTGTTTAATCATGCCAAAAACCTACTTCTCTGAAAGATGGGTCAGATCATCCATGTTGAGCCCCATGAGAGTAATTTTTCCTTCAACACCTGTCAACCAATCTGATAGGGGGGATTCATACAGCATATACGCGATGAGGCTACTAGACCCACTTCTATAGAGAAGTCGCAGCCAGAATTTAAACGTTGAAACAATCATAAAGCCCGTTTAAAACCATGACTAAAATACACATATGAAACCCCAAAGACCTAGCAACTAAAAAAACAGAGCTGGAAGGGGGGGTCATTGAGGGAACACCAGATGAACAAAGAAGTCTTAAGGTCCCAAGCCCTGCCCTGGATAGCCCAGGCGAGCCCAATCTTGTCAGATATCAGAAGCGAAGCAGGGTCACTTCTAGTTAGTATTTCGACAAGAGACCGCCATAAGTCAGCTGTGACTCGATGACACTTTCCACCACAACACGCTGTTTCCAAACCATACAGAGCTTTAAAGGTCAATGCGAGCACCTTTGAGCTTGGCCTGGAAACAGATCAGGAACCAGTGTAGATGAAACTGAGGTGATAACGGTCCCTACCCACTCCAGTCTGCATCCTGACTGCAGAATTTTGTACTGTTTGGAGTTTCCAAAAGCTTTTTGTTACTGAGCATGGAAGGAGGACATCCATCAAAAGAGTAACTTGTGGCACTGTGAAAGTGCAGGTGTTCAATTGCTTCTTCATATCTGAAAGTCATCACCCTGTCCTTAAGTTTGTAAATTGCTGGTAGCAAACACCACGACACATGCAAAGCTGTAAGCAGATTCTGAGACTGATTCCACAGTGTCAAATTTCCCTGTTCCAGCACTTCTATTCATCCATGGCTTTCTCTGGTTCCTGCAGATAATTTCACCCTCCTACCAGAACTGTGCTTTGGAGCAGGATACAGGATATGTCCCCTCGAAGGGGAGAGTCCTGTGAATGTGGGGGTATATGATATGTGGTGGTCCAGACCTTATTTTGGGGTTCAGAGCTTTCCAACTCTCCTTAGTGTTTCTGAATGACTGCACGAATAAGTAACGAATAAGGAATGAATAAGGAAGTGCGAATAAGGAACCAACTTCAGCCTCCTCTTTCCCACAGAGCTTCAGAGTGGTAAGAATGTACTGTGGAAACTGTCTGACTAAAGACTTAATGTCACCAACAAGCAGACTAGCAAGAAAATAGAAAAAATTGTTTGTGAAGTTAAGTGCTGAGGCTTGGGATCTTGCTGAAGGCTGCTTCACGTATGGAAATCCATCAGGCAAGAGATAACTCGTGCGTTAGCAGCAGATATGTGTTGACGCTGCAGATATAAAACGCTGTGGCCAGAACTTTAATATCTAATGTAAAGCTTTTCAGTAAAGTTTGAAGGTGGGCTCCATGGGGCTCCTCAGCATGGTGCTCCTCCTCCTGACCAAGAAGGCAGCCTGCTTGAGCTTCAAAGTTGCTGCATTACAGGGCTTCCAGCCATATACTGGGACCAATCAAGTGGGGTACCCAGAGGTGTAAACTGGCCCTCATGAGCAGGGCTCTTTTTGTAGAAAAAGCCCAGCAGGAACTCATTAGCATAATAGGCCACACCCAACAGCAGGAACTCATTAGCATATTGGGCCACACCCCTGACAGCACAGCTCATTAGCACATTAGGCCGCACCCACATGTTACCAGGAGTGCGGTTATCCAGCCACACCCACCTTTTGCTTCTTATTCTGTTTACCTTGTTTGTTGTCAAAACCCAGGGCCTTTTTTGGTAGCAGGAACTCCTTTGCACGTTAGGCCACACATCCCTAATGTCGCCAATCCTAATGAGTTTCTGCTGTTGGGTGTGGCCTATTATGCTAATGAGTTCCTACTGGGGCGTGGCCAACTTAGGAGCCAGCCGGAACTCCATTCCTGTGCGTTCCTGCCCAAAAATAGCCCTGCTCATGAGACAGGATAGTTTGGGATCCTGCCAATGGCAGAAATCTCATCAAGGCACCAAAAAAGAATGATTAAGAAAAGTTCTCTTAACTCTTCAACCCTTTCAGAAGTCATTTATACCTGAGCCAAGCAGTTACCAAAATTACCCCATATCAAGCTCTAATGGCCTCTGTGTAGGTTGCACAGTACCTGTTTATGGCACACACACACACACACACACGTGTATTAGTAGTCCTGTTCAAGAAAGAGCTTTATTTCCCAGAACAAAGTTTGAGTCCAGTGGCACCTTTAAGACCTGTAAGGTCTTAGAGGAGCCACTGGACTCAAACTTTGTTCTGTTGCTTCAGACCAACATGGCTACCCACCTGAATCTATCATTAATTCCAAGTTATTCATCCATCAAGTTCAGCATTGTGAGTTCATTATCTAGTGACACTTGGTCACCAGCCTGTGGCTGGAAGCCAGACTAATGAGACAAGAGAGGACCTTTTGTCTTATGCTCACTTGTTCCCTGTTCTGCCTTCTATTTTTACTTTGGATCAATCAAGCCTTGCCGCATATTGAGCGTCTCCAGGCAACTGGACACCCAGCGTTTCCAAAACGGATTGTGTAGTCTCTCCACCTTTGGCATATTAAGCTGACCCTCTGTCTTCTCTGTTTCTTTCTGATAGGTGCCGTGGCTGCATGCTATTTATGCTGTGCTGGGTGCAATCGTGTTTACTATGGTAAGCAAAACTAACCCCAAATTAGCCCTCATTTCATGATTGGTACACTGTCCCTACTAAGTGGCAGAAATCTGATAATAGACATCAAAAGTCGTAACAACTGCCCTGACCTGGATAGCCCAGGCAAGCCCAATCTCGTCAGATTTCGGAAGCCAAGCAGCGCCGACCCTGGCAAGTACTTGAATGGGAGACCTCCAAGGAAGACCAGGGCTGGGATGCAGAGGCAGGAAATAGCAAGCCACCTCTCTGAATCGTCCTAGCCCCACTAGGGGTTGCCAGAAGTCACCATGACTTCCAGGCACACACACACACACACACAAGTCACAACAACTGAATGGTAACCCTTAGTACCATGGCTGTCCTGCATATGGCCTTCAAACTATTCATATGGCAGGAATTTATTGTTATATTTGCCAAATGGGTGGGTATCATTTTTCAAGTGCAGCTGCGCTTGTTTGGAAGATGATTCATTTGCAAGAAGCACTGCTTTGGAAGAACCCAAAGAATGCCAGGCACCCAGAAGCACACATGCAGAAAGAAATCATAAAAGACCCAGGCAATACTGAAGCACAAGGCAAAATGCAGGTAGGCTACAGAGAGTAGCTTGGAGTGCCAGCGTTCAAGATAAGGCAAGCAAGCAGGCTAAACTACCCATCACAGCATAAGCCAGCACACATGCACACTCTGAGTCACATACACATGTAGAAATTCTTCCACCCACTAGCTCTGCCAGTCGTCCATTGAAAAAAAATAGTACTGTCAGTTTTTGGAGCTCTGTGTCAGTTATGAGAATTTTGTGTCTCTGTGTGTGCACCAAAGTCCGAAATGTGCGTGGTTGCCAGAGGAAAAGCGAGAATATTTTAAGTCAGTGACAGCATTTTCACTTGGTGCACATGCTTGAAGCTCATACACACAAGACTAGGCAATTACTTAAGGTGCCAGAGGGCAAAGGGGCACCAGGCATGTCATAGAAAGGCCCTGCTGACTCACAACCCCACCTTCAGTTTGGCCAGGGATCCTGGAGGTCCCCCCCCATCTTCTTGGCCTGGAGCAGGGGTCACTGGGGGGGGGAGATTCTTGTGAAGTTCCTGCATTCTGCAGGGGATTGGGCTAGATGACCCTAGAGGACCTTCCAACTCTATGATTCTGTGATTCTGTTTTGGCTCTTCAAGGCATTTAGGCACTCAGCAATTGTCCCAAGTCCCCATTCAGTGACACACTGCTCTTCTGAGTCTGCCCAACTCTGAGAGGGGATTTTCATGCTCCTCCAGTACACTGTCACCAGTGGGTCAGTTTCAGAAATCTTCACCAAGAGGGCCAACACTCCTAGTTTACCTTCCATGTTGCTGTTTAAAGACTCCACCTAATGCCTGTGTCTCCCACTACCCAATGACTAGTTAACGTGAGGACAGCATACTGTATTTGCATGCCAGGGTAACAGAGATTTAGCAGCCAACCGTCTCCCTTCCCCTGGGTCCCATTTTAGTATGTTTAAACAGTGGGTTTCTGTGTGGTGTGGAGAGCAACTACCAGCATTTAAAATAGAAAAAGGTTAATTGAAAAGGAAAAGTCTACACACATACTCTGTACAGCAACTGATTGAACAAGGAATACAAATAAATGGTGCTAGCATACAGTCCTGTCTCCCTCAGCCCTGCACATGCCCTTGCTGGGCTGTTTCAAGGCAGGCTCTTTAAACTTAAAAGTTAACAGCATTCTAAAAGCTTCCCATACCTTAGAGTCTTTGTCTAGGCTGCCTATGATTCTGTGATTTATTAATTTGGATTTATTAATTCCTCAATCCCTGAGTATTCAGGGCTCTGAGCAATGAACAATGATAATAAAAACATATATTTAAACAATACCATCAATTTAAAAGCTGGTTAAAACAATTCATAGTTTATGGTATTCAGATGGCGTTAGTACCTCCGATTACAACTGTGTCCCTATCTTGTAGGGGGATGAGTGGGAGTGGGGGGAGTAGGAGGGAGGGAGTGCCAGCCAAGATGGTGCCCATCGCTCTCCTGAACCAAAGGCCTGCCGGAACATCTCTGCCTTGCAAGCCCTGCAGAAGTGCATAAGGTCCCACAGGGCATGGATGTCATTTGGCAGAGAGTTTCACAAAACTGGGGCCGAGGCCGAAAAAACTCTGGGCCCTGGTTGAGGATGGCTGGATGACTTTGGGGCCGGGGATTACCTGTAAGTTGTTTTCAGCAAAGTGTAACGCTCTTCGGGGGACATACCAGAGAAGGCAGTCCCACATGTATGTTGGTCCCAGACCGCTTAAGGCAGGGATGTCAAACATAAGGCCCAGGGGCCGGATCTGGCCCGTCCAGGGCTCTTATGCAACCTGCAAACAACTGATTGAAAGGAGGGAGTGGGCAGAGCCACTCCATTATGGCTTTAGCACAGCAGAACAAGCATCGTGGGAGCATCTGCCCAGCATTGCACTGTTGCCTCTCCAATCCGCCTCTGTGGGTTTTCCTCTGCACCCCCTTCCACCCCAGGGGGCCTTGCAGAGAGGACACACCAACTCAGAGCTTACCAGCTGCTGTCCTTTATACAGTTTCTGTCTCCAATACCTGGCATTACGTTTTACAGAACACATGGCCCAGCCTGACAAAGATTTATGTCAGATCCGGCCCTCATAACAAATGAGTTTGACAACTCTGGCTTAAGGCCTTGAACCTGACCTGGTACTCCACTGGAAGCCAGTGCAGCTGATGGAGCACAGATTGAGTATGCACTGTCCATGGCGTTCCTGTCGGGACTCCTGCTGCTGCGTTCTGGATCAGCTGAAGCTTCTGGATCAGTATCAAGGGCAGGTCACTGTAAAGCGAGTTACAGTAATCCAGTCTGGAGCAATGCTCCCTCTAAGCTGTGGAGCAAAAATTCTACTTTGTGAGCTCCTGGCATTAGAATTGTGAGCAAGCAATTTGGTTACTGCATACATTAGTTTGCTCTGGAGCCATCCTTCCTGAGCGAAGACAAAAATGTGTGAGCCAGAGACTAAAAAACTCTGAGCTAGCTCACACTAACTCAGCTTAGAGGGAACACTGGTCTGGAGGTGACCATTGCGTGATTTGCTGTGGTTAGGTTGGTGTGAGACAGGAAAGCTGCCGCACTTGGCATAGATAGAAAAATGCCAGCATGGTGATGTGTGTGACTTGGGCTTCCATAGGTAAGGAGGTATCCAGGGCCATGCCCAAACTCATCGCAGTCTGTGCTGGTAAAAACGGCACACCATCAAGGGTGGGAAGTTGACACCCCAACTCTGACATTCCTCCCTCCCAGCCACAGAACCTCCATCTTAGTTGGATTCAGTCTCAGCTGACTCTTCTTCAACCATCCCACCATGGCCTTTAGAACCTTGGCCAGATTTTGCAGGGCGGTGTCTGGGCGGCCACCCATTAACAGACATAGCTGGGTATCATCAGCATATTGGTGACACACCAGCATGAAACTCCATACCATCTGGGTGAGGGGGTGCATGTAGATTTTAAATGACATCAGGGAGAGGATAACCCCTTGAGGAACCCCACATTAAGGGGTACTTAGTTGACAACCTCAATCCAGCTGTCTACGGAGATTGTCCATAAGGGTGACCAGCACCGTCTCCATCCTGTGGCCGGGCGAAAACCATACTGGAATGGGTCCAGTGCCGATGTGTCATCCAGGAAAGTCTGGAGCTGCTTGGTTATTGCTCTCTCAGTTACCTTTCCCAGAAATGACAAGTAATTGGAAGGATCTGTAGGATCCAGAGATGTTTTTTTTCAAGAGAGGTACCACCACAGCCTCCTTTAGCCCCACTGGATAGACCCCTGACTCCAGGGACAGGTTGATAATGCCCAATTTTTCCCTTCTTGCCTATCTCATTCAAGTGTGTGTGTGTGTTTGTGTGTGTGTAAGTATAGATATAGGCAGGGCTATTTTTGGGCAGGAACGCACAGGAACGGAGTTCCGGCTGGCTTCAGAGTTGGCCACGCCCACTACAGCCAAAACCTCTGCATGTGTGGCTACAGAGGGAAGGCCTGGAGAGCGACCCCCCCCAGCGACTCCAAGGCGGGCAGGCCGGGGGGGGCCCTGGAAGGATCGGGGAGGCATTTAAATCTCCCTGTGCCTTCCCTGGCCTGTTCAGGGGGGGGCTTGCTCGGGCTCCCCAAGGGAAGGCATGGGGTGTGGTCTAATATGCTAATGAGATTCTGCTGTTGGGTGTGGCCTGTTATACTAATGAGTTCCTGCTGGGCTTTTTCTACAAAAAAAGCCCTGGATATATGGTTTTTGTATGCCCCAAACCTCAAAATATTGGGATCTAACCCCAAAGTAATTGGCATTTCTCCACTAGGGGCACCATGTTGTGCCCACAACACTGCTGCCTGGGATTTCTGGATGGCCAGCAATTCCAAGCACATGCCTGCCTGCTGGTGGCCTGTTAGTATCTTGGGGAATGTGTGTCAGGCTGGCCAGCAGCTGGGAGTATGCCTGGTGGCAGCTCCAAACAAAAACACACCTACTGGCTGTCTGTCTGTCTGGTTGCTGCAGCACATATAAACCAGCATGCACACACACACACACACCCCTCAGCTTGGCAGGGGCAACAGTACCCAAAGCACTCAGGCTGGTCCTGTACACTAAAGAACAAGGTCACTCAATTCAGCCATCGTGCACTTTGTCATATGAATGAGATATTAGCAGCATTTACACGTGTGCTTCCTCAGTAGCTACAACCACACAGGCTGTCTTGGGATGAGGGAAATGGAGGCGGCAGCAAAGAAAGCTAGTAGCGTGGCACTGCCAGCACTTGCACCCACTTTCCCATGCAACTTCTCCACCCTGTGCTAAATCCTCAGGAGCCAGCCCAGCCTACCATGTCGGCCAGCACCAGCCAAAGGAGTCACTAGAAAGCATTTGCTTTTACAGCTGCCAGAATTTTTAAAATAAAATGTTGGCAACCTGATCTCTCCTCTGGTTCACTGCTCTCGAATTCCCTCTTTGCTTCG